TGGTTATAGTAAATTTAGAACACAATGATGTAGTTCAGATTGTTCTTTCCAATGTGCATTATCTAGCACTTTTCAGCACTACATTTTCCTTTCCTTGATAGAAATGGTCATACTCAACCAGGAAGGGACTTTTAGGCAGATGTCATTCTAGGAAGACATTCAACTCTGCCAAGACATTTTCCTTCAAATTTCAAAAAGTTTATTTTCATGAGTAATTAAAAAAACCACACAAATACCAAGAAAAGTAACAAAATTTAAATGCATCTCCCAAATTTTCAGATATAACACAGAGAATCAGGCTCTTTGTGACAAGACTGCTCCCCTACTTGCTCCGTGACCTCCTGTGTGAATGTGGAATGAGGATCCTGGGCACCCATAACAATAGCTGGCAATTCCGTAAAGTCTGGGTGAGCAGTTGGCAGGAAAGGGGATTTATTTATTTACTTATTTATTTTTGGAGGGAGACACTGACCATGGCTGCTCTTTTTGCCAGCAACAGGTACATGGGTTTATTACTGGGCAAATACCAACCTTTGGACAGTTCTAACGCATAATCCTTACTCTCCACTGAGAGAGGTGGAAGGGATGCAACAATTGGCTCACGGGAAGCAGGAAAAACAGTTTCTCTGTCCAGTTCATTGCTCTAGTGTTAAACTCTGTGCAAAAGGGAAAACCCAGGCAGGTGAGGTATAAAGGGATCACAGATCTTTTTCCCCATAACCATTCCACACAGAAGATTTGTCACAGAGGTGGTTCTGAGTAGGGGCTTCCTCCCATGAACACACATTCAACAAGGTACATTTTTCCTCCATGGACTAATTAAAAGACAATGTGTATGGATATGGTTAGGGAAGAGGGTAGTTCTACGGTGTTTGGGTTGCACAAGCCATCATGTGGTGATTGGCTGACACTGTGTTTCCTAAGCCCCCAATGCAACCCTTTAAACAAACAAAACAAAAAATAATAAAAAAACTGAATTTTTTTTTTTTTTTTTGGAGAGAGCTGCCTGGAGGGTCCATGTCCCTCAAATGCATTCCTCTAAGACACCTTTACTTTGCCTTTCTCAGGAGCTGCCTCGTGGGCAAGTGGCTGCTCATCACCATTCACCAACAGGATCCTCTTCTCAGATGGCTGCTCCTCAGGCTGGCGGGTGATCAGTAGGCGGCAAGTGAGCAGGATCCCAAAGACAAGGGCATGGGCATAGCGTTTGAGTGGGTCACCCACTAACTGGTGAAAAAAGAGTACAGCGAGCACAAGCAGCAGGAGGAAAAAGTTGGCCACGTCCTTGGGGCGTCCAGGCACCAGTGTCATGACAATTCCACATGCCACCTCCAGGGCACCAATGCTCTTGCGGAGAAGGATTGAGCTGACTCCCATCTTCTTCAATATGGGAAGGGCCCGGACATAACTTTTGTAGGCTCGTTTCTGGAATCAAACAATTGTACATGTACAGCACTCATTAACGGAGAACAGTAAAGGGTGGAGAAGGATAGACTATATCTGACATTTCATCCCACAGGATTGCTCAATGTTTTATTGAGTTAACCTCATATATAAACTGTACATAAAGATCACTTCACTCATCACTGTTGTATAGATAGATACCTCTGGGGTGTTATACAGCAAATGTTTGGCATCCCCACTAGGGAATCTGTTGGAACAATATTCCCACTCACCCCAACTCTCAGTATCTACTTTCATGGTCTCGTCTTTCCTAACTGGAAAACATAATTCTTTGAGATGGGAATACAAGGCAGTACCTGTTAGGCTAGGAACTGGCTAAGACACAGTGTAGTGGGCACACATTCTATATGTTCTTGGGAAATGAATTACTAAAATCTGAAGATGCTATTTATTGTTAAAATTAACAATGCAGAAAAGGGTTGTCAAAAAAAAAATCTCTCCCCCAAACTGACATGCCTTTTTAATTAAAAGGAAGATCCTAAATAATGCATCTTAGTCCCTGCAGAGCCAAGGGACAGAAAATAAAAACAAGATGCATGGTGAATCTCTAAGTGGCCTAGAAACTCCCAGGTTTCTAAACTTCACATACAGTGGAGACTTAGCTGAGGGCTGTACATCAAAGGTAGGATTTACTAGATCAGTTTGTTTCTCTCCACATACCCTTTTATGATCTTTTCTTTCCTGTACAGAAAGCAGGTTGGCATTTGTCATCCTGGTTCTGAGGGTTATGCTGGATTTACAAACAGCCTTATTAATAACAACCTTGTTCCACCCCCCACCGACTCCAATTTGCCAAGGGGAGAAAAGTAGGTATTGTACAAAACAACCTAACTTACCTCCCCACGAATATTCAAGCTCTTGCATTCTAGCATCACCCAGTGAGAATTTTTTTCTCTTTGAACACACTTTCAATTTTTCTGGGTTTTAAAGAAGCCCCTGGTTTACTAACAATGCCTAACACTATTTTCACTTCCACTGGAGTGTACCGGTCACCACAGATATTCCTGACATACTGGATTTACACCCCATTTTCATCTTTCTTAGGAGGAGAGAAATGGTAGACTTAGATATTCCAATCAGTTCTGATCTAATACGAGATCAGCAAAGCTGACCGGTAAGAATCAGTGACTTAGCCAATTTCTCTGTACAAGTGCTCTCAATGTCATTATGGAAACGTGGTCAGAACATGCAGTCAGATGCATGCAGACAGCTTTGCTTTTTCAGCTTTATAAAGTTGACACTCCCTCCCAAGAGCAGTTGGTGATGTGTTACACACACACACACACACACACAAGTCACAGTATTCTTGTTGCTATAAAGATGTTAGCATTTCTGTTCCAAACCTACATTTTCAGGCTTTAAAAATATGCTTTGAAGCAAAGCTTCTTCCCAAAGCAGCAATCTTTGTAATCAGATGTATAAAAAATATTGGTTTAAAAATGAAATTTGGCAGTAATACTCCCTAATCACTAGATATTTTTAATGCTGTAATGAACTGATTCATGAGTATGTTCTTTGGATGGACTTAGAACTTCTCAGCTCAGTGTTAGGTCCTATGCTGTAAACTGCTAACAGAGGTTCTTCCCTTAGCTCGGTTGCAGGGGCCTGTGCTTTTTGGAGCATCAGGATCTGAGTTCGAACTCCATTTTCCCCATGGAGTTACAAGAAACCATGGGGTTCTATTGGGCCACGGCTATGTTGCAATACAGTATAATACAGATAATGGTGATTGTGTCTAATCTGTGTGCCTCAGTTTCCTGATTTATAAAAGGGGGATAATTTTTACCTACCCACACAGAGCTGTTGTGTGGCCTAATTCACTAAGTTTGCAAAACAGAAAGGAGCAAAGAATTATAATCATAGTGATCAAGGATTTTGTAGTGTGTTTAAATTTAAAATCTTGTTTGTTAAATCTTATTTATTTACATTTATTTATCATAGCTTGGGAGCTGTGGCTTCTGGATATTCTCTCCTTACTTTCGCCCGGTCACACAAGTCATCTCTTCACACCCTCCCCCTACTGAGAGACCCATTCTGTGGGCACCGGCAAGGCCACTGAGACTCAGATGTTGTTTGGGAGGTAGGGGAAGGCAGCTGAGCAGGTGCACTGAAGAGAGAGAACAGAATGTGCTGGAAGCTTCCACCATTGTTTCCCGGGGATCCAAAGAACCTCAGCATGCAACACCTTCTAGCCATGTTAGTAAATAAGAAGAGAGAATGAAACATAAAACCACAGAAGAGGGAATTAAGCACAATTGCATTGACAGCCTGCAGCTCGCAGCAGGTCAATTTCTGCAGCAGATTCGGCGGGGCAGAAAGAGTGAAGGAAACTCACTGACTGACAGACATATGCGTATGCTGATCCCTGCTCTCCTTCCAACCCCTCTCCGGTGTTACAGAGAGGCAGGCAGGCTCATTGCTTGGTGCTGAGGAGAATGATAATATATCTAGTCCTTTTCTAGCACCTTCTGCAAGGATCTCAAAGTGCTTTACAGTCATTAATTAATCCTCACAACCCCTGGGAGATAGGGTCATTCAGTGTCATCACCTCCATTTTGAGGCACAGATAGTTTAAGGACCTTTGAGTATCTGGTTTTCAAAACAGGCACATTCCCCTTCTCCACCCCAAGTCCTTTTCTTGTAAGGGGAATGGAAATACTCCTTACTGTGTGACTGACTGGTCCTGGTCTCCCCCTCTTTCCACAGGGGCACCAGACTGGCTTTAGATTTCATCCTCCTTGCACTGCCCTCCCTCTTTTTATTCATCAGAGATTACCTGCAAAATTAGCTCAAACAATACCAGACCAAGGGCTGTCGGCAAGATTTGATTCTCAGCAGCTGAGTTTTATCTGTTTCTTTGTTTAACACCAAAAAGGGAGGAGTATGAGCTTCCTGCTGCCCCCCCCCCCCCGAATTCAAGGCTCTACAGCATTGCTGCCTGTATATCCTCCAGCAGAAATTCCTTCTGCATGGCTGCTCCTGTTGCAAGGTTGTGGGGAAGAGAAGAACATGCAGCCCTGCTAGCAGTATGTCTCCCATCACTGCCACTGCTGCTGTACTCACCATCTCATTGTAGGCATCTTTGCTGAGCCTTGGGGTCAATTTGATCGTCCCCATGAAGACAAAGAAAAGCCCCAGAGCCACCGAGAGAGCCACAATGGTTACAGTTCTGGGAGATGCCATTGGGCCAGTGAGAGGACGTCCTAACTAGGCCTCTTGCTCTCTGTCCGTGCAGGAGGTGGTCAGTCACCATGGAAGGAGATCAGGAGCAAAGCTGCAGAGGCAGTGAGAATGACAGACACTGAGAGAGGCATTCTACCTCTTCCACCCAGCAACCTCTGGGTCCTAATGCCCCACCAGTCATGCTACCTCTTAGTTGCATTGTGCTGCCACTTGCCCTATAACAAAATAAATAATAGTAAATAAATATGATTTATAACAGGGTTACATTTATGTAGCACCTTGCCTCTCCAAAGATCCAAAAGTACTTTATAAATCACCCACCTCTGGGGTTGAGAGAATCAGCCAGGTGCATAGCACAATGCACCCCATTGGTCGGGTGAGGCTATTTTGGCTAACAGGACTGGAGCTGGAGCAAACCCCTATTCTTAGGAAAGGCGCTCTATGATTGTTAATGCCCAGGCAGAGGAGTCTGCACTTCAGTTTGCAGGAGCTCATTCAAATGTTACAAACAGAAAATTGCATGGTGCTCAATTTATCTACATCAGAAGGATAAAAGACAGAGTCATCCCTGCTGGAATTTGAGTCTGTGCTTCCAGTGGAGTCTGGTGTTTGAAAGCTGAAACTCAGCCCACTAACTTGTACCCTCAGCTCAGAGACAAGATATATAGCTCTTTGCTCCATATGTTTAATACAAGGACTAAATACACAGATGAAGTGTCTCTCTAAATCCTTTATTACCCATTGATTTACATTCATCATCTCTTCTCCAATTTACAATGCAAACAATGTCACTTTCTTTTTGACAAAAACATACCCTGGCTGAGAGAAATTCATTCAAATCCTACCAAGAGAAGCCAAGTTATGGATTCCTAGGGGTGTTCCAAGCTCCTGGAGCCTGAATGGAGTCCAGCCACTGCCCCAATTTCAGGATCCCGAAGCATATGCTCAGGATGCTGACATTCTATCTGGCACCCCCTCCAAGTGTTGGAACCTGCTGTCCAGCTGTCTAGCCCCTTTGGGCGCAACTGACACTTCAGACTTCCCAGGACTCAAACATACCCCTGTGACGTTGCAGTCTATATGATTTTATAAAAATATTAATGAGTGAATATAATGTAACTGGGATATGCTTCATGAAAAAGGTCTCTTGTAAGGTATCATTACAAAGCTTATAATCTACTGAGTGTGGTCATCCTATTTGTATAAATGTACCACTCTTGTATCTGAAACTAGAAATATGAAATATAACTCTGAGGGCCTATTGTCATTATGCAAAGTGAGGGCCATTAATGGTGGTTTGGAATCTTGATGACTCCCATTAACCAGACAGTGACATGTGATCATGTCACCTGAACTGGAATCCATCTTTAACCTGGTGTCTTTCCATTGAGAAGGAGGGGGTGGGAACCCAGAGAAGGACAAAGGATTCCCGCCTTATGCAAAAGATATATAAAGGGGTAGAACAGAACAAAGCAGGAGGAGCCATCATGAAGAATCCCCTAGCTACCACCTGAGCTGGAATAAGAGCTGTACCAGGGGAAAGAATTATGCCCAGGCCTGGAAGGTGTCCAGTCTGAGAAAAAACTTACTGAAGCATCTCTGAGGGTGAGATTATCTGTATTCAGTTTGATTAGACATAGATTTGCG